CATCCGAACGCGGAAATCGGTTATTACACAATGGCGGCCCGCAACATTTGGAACAGTTTGATTGAGCTGCAGCCGCAGACTGGTAAGTGGCCATCCAATTTTAAACCACCAATCTGCTCCAGAGATATTCCACATTTCACCCTGGTTATCACACGTTCGTTCGCCGGCTAGCCGTTGATAATTTGAAACGGAATCGAAATCGAAATCTCAAAAACAAAAAAAAAAACGTAATGATAATAATGTTATATAGATATGGCGAGCGGCGGCCTGGTAAATGGTTCAATTTGCATGCAACGTGTGCCAATTGTCAGCCGTTTATTACATTTTATCTTGTTGATTTTCATTCCCATACTCGTGGCTCGGCTAGCAATGTTGTATATTTTTGGCATGCTGAATTTTTAATTTAATTTAATTAATTAGTTGCGGTTTTGCAATTAACTTTATTGCATGCGCCATTATTGCCGGCGCACAACAGCAATGCACACATTAAAAATTAAAATAGAACCGCACAGCGTGGCCCACATGGGTCGGGTCAGATTGGAGGGCAAATTACGTATATTACACAAACACGTACACATTCCCATCGGCATTCAATTCAGTCACTTTCATCGCATTGCCGCAAATCGCAGCGAATCGAGTTCAAACCTCACCGCATCTACCGCCATCAGAAGTACCAAAAAATGGTGAAAACGGCACACAAAAGTCGATAATTTTGCGTTACGGGTTTAAACGTGTTAAAACCGCCATCAGAGTGCACTTCGCATGCCACGCCCCCAACTCCCAACATCCCACTTTGCACACCTATCCACCCACCCACTCACAATCATGCATATTTATATATATGTGGCCTTGTAAATAATTGTATATACAATTTGGAATACTTTTTTAAATATATTCGCACACACGAAGTGACCAAGTGGACACCAACCGAAGTCAATCCTGGTAAAGTATTCAGCGTAAACAAAAACCACTACCACCCATTTACCCAGCCATTTAGTGTAAATAAAAATAATAAGAGCAAATATTTCCACTGATTAAAAATCGAGTTTAACCATTTTATTTCAATTCATGGAGATGTGCATCAAGATACGATCGGTGAAAAAATGCAGCTGCAGGAAATATTTAAAATACCACCAACGAATTTAAATAGGAACGTTACTCTTAGAAAATTACACATTTGAAATTAACTTAAAATATTTAACGCGAATTCTTAAGCTCAATTCAAAATACCTACAAATAATTGTTGCGAATTCTTTTGTTTTAAGTAAGTAGAGATTTAAAAACAAAATGGCATTTTAACCAAATTTAAAATGTTTAATAAGTTTTATGCCAATGATTTTTTTCCCAGCATATACATTGCATGACAAGGATCTTACATAACTTTGATTTTTTTTATAGTTAGCTAATAGATAAAAATTGTAAAAAAAAATTGTTCATGCCTCCCTATCACCAATATGCTCGCCATCACTTCGAGTACCTCTCTGTAAAATGCCGAAAATTTGCATATTCATGAGCTTTAGTATTTGCTAATTGACACTTTAACAATAAATAAAGCAGGGACGGAAAAAATTCTCTTTAGGGTGCCAGATAAAGGGGAAAATTAATAAAATCAACAGATATAAAGGGAGTGAGATTACGAAAAAAGAATGGCAAGTGGAAAAACCACAGGCTGTGCATATATTACTGCGGCATTTTCCTTGCCTTTGTCCTGACACCTGCCACAACCACAGTCCTAACTCATGCTCCTCCTTTTCGGTTTTTTTTTTTGGTGCATCCAGGTGAGGGAACTGGAGGAATCAGCCGCGATGACTTCATCGACTCTGTGGCAGCTGGGATCCTGAAAAAACTACCGCCCGCATTCGAGACATGGCGCATTCGTAAACAGATCCAGATGAGCCTGTCACCCACTGGGGTGGTTCTTCTCCAGGAGCTGGACCGCTTTAATCTACTGGTCGTGCGGATCAAGAAGTCGCTGGAGCTGCTCCGCAAGGTAACCCAATATATATATGTATATATTATATTGCATAGGGATTTTACGCTCGTATATGGGCTGTCAATAGAGGCCGCACATAAATCCTTCAGCCTTGTTTTGCATTTCGCATTTGTTTATGCATTTGCCAACTTGGCTGGCGACCAAGCAAACGATGTCCAAATTTGAATGTGGGCGATGGAGGAGATCTCCAAGGCGGCTGCATTTTGTTGCCAAAATAAATTTACAAATGCAAATGAACTGGGTGCTTTGTCTTGGTTGTGCTGCACTCTCTTGATGCCCACGGCCACGCCCACACATGTACCATTGCCATTGTGCCTTTTAATTTAATTGCATACTCTCCGCAGGCCATCGCCGGCGAAATCGGCATGGACAATGTGCTGGACAACATTGCCAACTCGCTGTTCAATGGCCTCCTGCCAGCCGCGTGGAGCAAGTTGGCGCCGGCGACATGCAAACAATTGGCCAGCTGGCTGGAGCATTTGCGGGTGAGTCGTCTACTACTACTAGCGAATCCTTTCGCAGGCGCTGCTCGCTGCTTACTGCTCATTAATCAGCTCAGCACAAAATCAATCAAGGTGAGTTCGTGTCCACTAATCAGGCTTTCCATCCAACGTTTGTCCAGCTCCGGGCCGTGCAATACAAATACTGGACGCTCTCTGGCGAGCCCCTGGTCATGTGGCTGTCGGGACTGCATATACCGCAGAGCTATCTCACGGCCCTGGTTCAGGTGAGTCCGCACCGTCACCCACTTGCTGGTGGGGCAAACACACACTTCGCAAAAAAATTACCTTGCTAAAAATATTGAATTTAAGAAAAAATTTTCATTTCGAGAACGTGTACTTTAGAAAGTATTTCTGATTTTGTTGAGAGAGTGATAAGGAAAAACGTTTCCTTTATTTATTTAGCATGAAATTGAATGGTTGATTTAAGTAATTATTTACTTATTTATATGCAAAATATTGTGGCAAAATAGGTAAAGCTATGAAAATTTTACCATTCCCACAGAACTTTTTAGTATTAAATACACAGAAATATTAAAAGTAAGTAGCATTACTGTTTATGTAAAGTGTCATTAAAAATCGAATTGAATATTTTACGTAAAATCGACCTTTGTTAAAATTATAATGTAATTTAATAATATTTTTTAAATTACAATTGACTGGCTTAAATATTTTTAAACTCATAAAATAGGCAATAGCAAATACAAATAAATGCACATATAAAAAAAATGTAATTCTACATAATAGCAACCCCAATTGTTCCGAGTGTAACTTTCCATCCTTGCAGATTGCCTGTCGCCGCAACGCCTGGCCGCTGGATCGCTCTACGCTGTTCACCTACGTAACCAAGTTTGCGGACCCCGATGATGTGGAGGAGCGTCCCGTGACGGTGAGTAAGGGAACGTGGGGAATGGGAGGAGAGAGTCCCGAATCCCCAACCCCCCAGCCTTTCTAAATGCAAAACGATGACCCAACTCCATCCTGGTTCAGGGGCTGGCACTAATTTCGTAATTAGGAATTCTGTTTGCATTTTAATCGCTCAACTTTTTGCAGGGCTGCCTGGTGCACGGTCTGTACATCGAGGGCGGGCGCTTTGACTTGGCCGCTAATCAGCTGGCGCGTTCCCATCCCAAAATCCTGGTCGAGGAGTTGGCCATTCTCGCCGTGGAGCCCATCGAGGCGCATCGTCTCAAGCTGCAGGTTTGTATGGGTTTCGGGGACTTCCTGGATTGTGGAATGGCAAAGAGCTGGTCAGAAGGGTTAGCCAGGATAGCTGCCGTCTGGCAGTGACAAGTACTAATGTGCTCTTGTATCTACATATGCCGGGGGGGGTGGCAAACGACGAGGGGGGTGTGGCCGCGTTGATATTTGTTTAAATGCATCGCACTAAATTACCAGCAGCTTCCGTAAAACCTTCCAGCCAACTAATGGGGCATCTGTTGTGCTAATTGTTTTCGAGCTTAAATGCCGGAAGCTTTAAAGCAAGAGCTTACCAAAATGTTTTTGACCCTATCTAATATTTAAATTCCCTTGTATATAGAATACCTACCTGGCACCTGTTTATACCACATCACTGCGGAGAAATGCCATGGGAGTGGGCCTGGTTTTTGAGGCTAATTTGGCTACTTCCGAGGATCTGAGTCACTGGATTTTGCAGGGCGTCTGTCTAACTCTTAATACGGATAACTGAAAAGACTTTATATATAACCAGACTGAGCTTTATTTCGTATTTATTTTTCGTAGTCGAATTGTTTGTAACATATTCCAGTACTTCCATGTAATTTAATGTTTACATCTTGACTGTAAATAAAAGAAAGTTTAAATGCAGAATTTAATTGCAAACAAAGTATATATATCTAAAATTAAAATGCCTTAACAAATAAGTCTTATCAAACTTCCTTTAAATGAATTTTAAACTTGACCATTTATTTATTTTGAAATACTGTGATTTAATGCCTTTATATTCATTACACTTTATTTTTTCCTTTATTTTAAAAGTGACATTTAAAAGAAAAAAACAAGATGAAGGGGAGCTATATAATAATATCAACGTGGGTCAAATACAAATTAAACAAATTTATCAAGGAAAGGGGTGAGTGAACATATTTTATTTTAATATTTGTTTTACCAATATTTAATTTGTACAAATAAAATATTTTTCTTTACCATTTAACTGGTAAGAAGGTTATACCAGATTTCAATTACATCTGATTGCCTTAACATTCTTCAAAATATTTTGGTTTATAAAGTAAATAAAAATTGTTAGGTGTAAAACTTCCCGCTAGCATCAAATAACATAAATCAATTATTTTGTAAAATATTGTAATAACGAACTTGAAAGCTCTAGAGTTGTGATAGCAAATCTACAGAATATCATAAATTAAATGAATGGCGTAAGCGAACTATTTGTTGGGCAATCAAACCATGGGATTTTTATAAGCCTTCGCGGCACTTTACCTCCTCAGTTCAACCCCATTTCCTTTAAAACTTTTATTAAAAGACCGTAGTCGCGCTTTTCGTATTGATTAATATTTATCGAATGGATTTTACTAAGCCAAATAAATCTATGTTTACAGCTCTGTAGTGGCAATGGAGTTTATTATTAAGTACGTAGGTTGCTAGTGCCTGTCAATAACGTGGTGATTTGTGCCTGAATCGTCTTCGTCCGCTGATATGCCTCCGCTCCTCCGCCTGGCATTACCTGCGCCGCCAGCAGCCGAAGCACGCCTTAAACTTGTCCAAAATGGTGCTCTTCATGGAGGGCAACAGTAGCTCCAGATTCTGGGTGCCAGCACTGTCATCCGACTCCAGATCCGAGTCAATGGTCATCTCCTGTATGCTGAAGGTGTCAGTCAGTTCGTGGTTCTGCTGGCGGCGCTTCTGGGACCGCTTCAGTTGTGCCGGAAAGAACGAGATCTCCTCGGCCTCATCGCTGCTTTCGGATTTGTAGTCCACGAGGGGCTTGTGTTCGGGTTCGCCCGGTATGGGAAGTCGATTGATTGGAATCAGCGTTGACGATTGCGTCTTGGTGGCCTGTGCATTAAGGAAACGCTGTTATATACCACTGATTTATTGGTAAAGTAGTAGTAGTAGCAAAGTAGAACCCCACCTGCTCCTCCTGAAACTGAGTGTAATTCCGGCGGGCTCGCTCGACCTTCAGCTCCAGTTTACGCTGCAGTATGCGGCATGTGTTGGGTGGCTCGTGGCCTCGACCGCCGGAGGCACTGGCCGCCTTCTGCTGCTCCGCCTCATCGATTTCTATGGTCGTGGGGGCATACACCTTGCCGGCACCCCTAAAAGCCACCTCAAACTCCAGGTCCGACATATGTTTGGGGGCTCCGCTGGCCGTTTTCTGTGGGCAGTGACGTTATACCCATGGAAAATTGCATTGTACTCTGTAGGCTCCACCTCAGCTGTTGTTGTTGATGCACAACAAACACACTTACCAGCAGTCCCGCTGCCCCATCCTCGTATATGTTGGATTGCCTGTCCTCGCTGTCGATGCCGCTGTCCTCCATATTATTTGTTCAAAGCTGCTGGACTCTGTTTAACTCTTTTAAATATTTCTACAAAAAAAAACGTCTACAATTGCACGCGATGGCAATACAAACAAATTTTTTTTATTGTCTTCCTCTGTGTACGACTCCCAAAACTCCAACCAACCCCAGTGTCTAGAGCGCAGGCTCCGGAAAATCAGCTGGTGGCGGAAAAGCTGGGAAAAATCAATAAAACCCCTTTTTCCAACAGCGTTGCCAGAGATTGTAACCAAATGTGGTTCAAATTTGTGGATCATCCCCCGAAAATCTTGTATTATACATATGCACTCTTTATTATGTAGTTTTAATTTATTTACAATTATTTGTTTTTAGGCTTAAATGCTTTACTCGTTGCACAGAAATGTAGTTGTCGTAGAAACTAAAAAGTAGAATACAAATTCGTTTTAGCCGCTTTTTTACCTCGATTGAATTTAATGTTACTCGTAATCAAGAATAAATAGGAACACAAACATAAAAAACACTAATACTATTTGCTTTTGTTCTGGAAGAGAGTAAATACTACTACATTAGACGTTCGGTCGTTCGTTCTTGATCTTTAGGCTATGGTTATATGGCTAGGCAACGGTTGGCTTTTTGGTCTCTCTGCTTTTGAATAGAATCATAGAATAGAATATCCTTCGAGAATGTCGATCCAATTATTCTTGTGTGCTGGTTTCGGTTCTTCGTTGAAACTTTAAACTCAATTCAATGCGAAAATTAAACAAAAATACTCTGCTCTCTGTGTCCACGATGTGTGTGGATTTATACCGCATTGGGATGAAGGGGCCTGCCTGCCTGGCCCGCCAACGTGCAGGATCGGCAGCAGAACTTGATGTAGTACGAGTTTTTGGAACAGTATCTACCCTGGACGATCAGCTTGCAGTTGGCAAAGTACGGACTGTCTACGCACTCCGGCGAAACGGGTACAACAGCTGCATACAAGATCACTTTTATTAATATCAAAAAACCTAAAAAAACCATATAGTTACTTACACTGAATTGAAACCTTTGCTTCTCCGTCGGCGTAGGTGTATGCATTGCTGGCCCTGCAGGCATACTTGCCCGTGTCCTCAATGGTCACATTGTGCAGTACCAGGCGATGTGGCTGGGCTGTAAATAATAAAGATAAGACATACGTATTTAGTAAAATAAAAATGTATTTTGTATTCGTTCAAAAGTAGACAGAAGTTTTTCGACCCTTATAGTTTACATATTCTTGAACAAGATAAATAACCAAGCCAATCTAGTCATGACCGTATAAAGTAGAGATTGTAGATCAAAACAATTGCATGTTTATATGTTATTTATATACTTTTAAAAGAGAGGCACTACTCACATGTAATTTGAACGCGCTCATTGTTGTAGAGAGGCAGGAAGTCCTTGGTCCAAGTCACATTGGGTTCCGGATAGCCTTGCACGGAGCAGCTCATGGCAATGCTGGAGCCGGCTGTGTAGCTGTTCTTGGGGTCCAGTGCCAGCACAGCATGGACATTGACTGTGAATGAGATTAAGAACAAATTATTGCCTCCGCCATAAAGTGTAGCTCTCAACGAATAGTTCAATCACCATGCCAGGCCAGCCAAAACATGCAAATGCGCTACTTACCAACCGGTTCAGGCACATAGGCCGGTCGAGTGGGTCGGTAGGGATAGCTGGGTCGCTGGGTCACCGGACGGGTGGCCGGATCCAGCACATACTGCAGGTATGGGACTTCCTCGTTGGTCATAGCCCGGACTGGACCCACCGCCTTCAGGGTGACTCGCAGCGAAACGGGACGCCGCTGGTTGTACACCTCGCAAGTGTAAAGTCCAAGATCCGTTAACTGAACAGAGTTGAAGACCAGCGAGAAATCGCGGGCCATGCGGTTGTTCTGAAGGCCAAACATTTTCCCGTTGCGCCACCAGCTGACGTGCGGAGCCGGAAAGCCTCCGGCCGGACAGCGAATCACGGCCGGACGGTTCAGCTGCACGATCTGCGTAACATTCTTTTCACCATAAACGTATGCGGGCAGGTTTACGCCCTCTACGATCACCAAGTTGCAGGGAAAGGATTACAAAAAGCAAGCAGCATGCGCACAGAGTGCAATACAAAGCAGTTAGTTAAATATCCAGCACCAAATAGAGTACACGAATTTAAACTCCGGCACAGTCGGTCTTCCGACTATTGAGCATTCGTCAATAAACTTTTATTTACCCATGAACTGGGTATTTGAACTTCTGTCATATGACATGTTCCACTTATCAATCATTTTTATCAGAACAGTTGGGAATATTTGTGATTATGATTTAATCATTCTATGATAATTTATAGATTTAAAGTATGGACTTTGGTGTATTTATGGCACACCAGAATTAATTTTTTGGGGAAATTGGTCGGACTGTTTAATCAAACACAAGAAAACTTAAAAAAAAGAGTGATTTTTTTTTACCATCTTAATGGTTTGAAAAGGGGAAGAACAAAGTACTGCATTCACAAAAAAAAAAAATTGAGAGCTAAACAAGGACGTAAAACTCTTTCAAAGAATAGGAAAATCTCATGATAAACATGCTAAATTCATGCCATTTAGTAACGAAGCGGGAACAAACACCAATTAAAAAATATTTTTTAAACGCACCTGTAACCTGTAGACCAACTTCTCGTCGCACCGGATCTCCCAGGCCATTGCTGGCCAAGCAGACGTAGGTGCCGTCGTCGGTTTGACGCACCTGGACAATGGTCAAATCACCGTTGGGAGTCAGGACATAGCGGCCCTTGTTCGTGTCGATCTATGAAGAAGGATTCGAAAAAAGGTGAGGATAAGGGTATGGAAACTCCTTCCATTGGCTTACCACCAAGTTCTTGAGCGACCATGTGATGTTCGGAGCCGGATTGCCGGTGGCGAAGCAACGCAGCACGGCAATGCCGCCAATGGCCGTCTGGACATCCAGCTCATGCGGTTGCTTGGGTTCCAGAGCAGCTTTCACATCGCCCGGATAGACGACTACGGGGGCCTGAGTTGTGGGCGGCAAGGTGGGACGAGCGGGAGCCACACAGAGCTGTCCGCAACCATCGCTGCAGCACTTGTTGTCGCCGAGGCAGTCGGCATCGGAGTAGCACTCGCGGGCACAGCCACTGGCATTGGCCGACAGAGCTGGACACTCGCCAGGTTTGTTTATGTCGCGGCAGACTGGGGCAAACTGGCGATCATCGGACCTAGCCACATCGACGGCGCATTGCTGGCCCTCGGGACAGTTGTAACCCTCGCAGGGATTCTCGCAAGTGCACTGTGTGCACTCCGGTTGAGATTGGGCAGCTCCACGACGAACGCCATACGGACAGCGGAGTTCCCGGCACTCGGCATCAAAGGTATCGCACGGACTACGTCCAATTCCATTGTCTAAATCGTTCGTTTCGGCTGAAAGAGGAGGATATTACCATTAAGTTGCGTTAACTATGACAGCGTGATCTTCCAGCCCAAGATACCCGTGCAGTCTTAAATCTAGTGAAAGTGCTCTAATCGCAAACTACATATGCTAAATCAAAGTTTCTACGAAAACAAGCGTTTTGGGTGCAAGGTGCATTCGTGGTTGGGTGGATTTGAGGTGCAGAGTGAGAGTGCTCTGTGTTGCAAAAGTGGCTTACGTCGGCATTGGTTCGTGCATGCCTCGAAGGATCGGAAGTTGTTCTGGTTGCCCGAGCAACCCGCGTAAATAAAGGACAAACAGTTTCCAATCTTATCGTCGTAGTACCAACGGCGCTCTTGCACCGCAGGTCCATTGCAGCGGCCCATCGCCAACGGCAGCAGGCAGACTTCTACTTACGCAAGGGAAGAACCAGTTAGCCCAGTGACTCTATACACACCCACCATATATGTTACCTTTAGCCGAGCCCACCGTCGGTTCGCGGCCGGCTATGCAAACTGTCTGACATTCGTACAAATCGTTGAAACGATTTCCGGTGCCATCGCATCCACCATAAGTAAACGGCTCGCAAGCCTGGCTCCGCTTGTTGAAGTAGTACCGGGTCTGCCAAACAGTGCAGGGACCCGACGTCACCGGCTCATTGCAAACGTCTGACACAGAAAATTATATCACCTGAAACAAGTACCCCGGCCCAGATGCCCAAACTTACCCACTCCCTTGAACTCTCCGCACTGCCGCTCGCATTGGTCGCGCGTCTCGAATCGGTTTCCATTGCCTCCGCATCCGGAGTAGGCGAAGGCCGTGCAGGCCATGTTCTCGCTGTCGTAGAACCACATGGTGGTGCTGTTGTCACATTCGCCCGCCTCTGGAGGCTGGGTGCACACGGAGTAGGTCTGCAGAGATAGAGAAATTTTAAATATTGTCGGTGCTTCCATGATTACCTTCTCCGTAACCGAATAGTTACGTTGCTCAATGTATTTTACTGGGAATAGATATTTTAATGAAAAATCCGTCCGTAACATAATAATTACGATTTCTATAAATATTAGTTATAGTCGATCTCACAACAGACCAGTTGTAGCCCACATTCATGGACATGTCAATGAATGTGATCCCAACACTTTTGTGTGTCGTATGAGCGTTCGTCAAAGGGTCAACAGAGCTCTTTTCTATGCCAGCAACTGCTTTACACCACATATGCTTAGTCAATTATGTCGTTGATTATGTAAAAATCGCTGACCTTTGTACTAATATTCTTACCGGTGCTGGTGGTTGAGGTTCGGGTTCCACTGCGTTTTCACCGCGGCAGAAGCTGAGGCACTCCCTCTCCGAAATGAAGTTGTTGCGGTTGCCGCGGCATCCGGTGAACTCAAACTCGTGGCATCCGCCGCTGCGCTCATCGAAGTACCAGCGTTGGGAGGAGTAACTGCATCGTCCTCGGACCGGTGGCATAGCACAGGTGGTCTGGGCATCATTGCATTCGCTCTGGCACTCCTCTTCGGTGGCATAGCTGTTGGCATTACCGCCGCATCCCGTGTAGACGAACTCGTCGCAGAGTCCCTCTTGACTGTTGTAGAACCAGCGGGTTTCGTTTTCATAACAGTTGCCCGGCTCGGAGGGCAAGAAGCACTTGGACGTGTCGGGACGAGATTCCTCCACAGGTTCCTCCGGTTCCACGGGTTCGGGATCCGGTTCTCCAAAGCGAACGTCTACATTGGGAGAGCAGCGAGCAGAGCAATCGTCCTCGGATTCAAAGCGGTTATCGTTGCCGCCGCAGCCGCCATAGTAGAACGATTGGCAAATACCCGCCGTGGCATTGTAGTTCCACTTGATAACCCATTCATCGCATTCGCCCGGCGCAGCAGGCTGATTGCACTGACTAACAGTTTCTGGTTGAGGAGCCGGAGCAGGAGCAGGAGCAGGAGTAGGGGCTGGACGTTCTTGTCTAGTGCAGCGCTGCTGACAATCCGTCTCCGATTCGAAACGATTGCCATTGCCGCCACAACCGCCGTAGTAGAACTGGCGACAAGCACCGTACTTGCGATCAAAGTGCCACTTGATGATCCATTCAGAGCATTCGCCAGGAGCTGCCTCCTCGTCGCAAATGTCCCGTCTGCTAGGAGCCGGCGGTGGAACCGGGGTGGTGGTGGTGGTTGGTTCGGGCTTGCGTTCGCAGCGGGCCAAACAGGACTCCTCGGTGGGGAAGCGGTTCTCATTGCCACCGCAGCCGCCGTAGTAGAACTGGCGACAGGCCTGATCCTTGGTATCGTAGTACCAACTAGCCTCGTAGTTGGCACACTCTCCCACCTCGGCAGGTATCTCACAGATGTCCTTGGCTAAATGGGGGGGTAGAGTGTCAGTTAGGCAAGGTGTTTTTGGGGGGACAAAAGAGACAAACACATAGAAAGCAGCCGCCTGGGGCAGACAACATTTAAAGCTTACCAACTTGCCGGGGGCAGTGGTCCTCGCAGGACTCCTGGCTGGGGAAGTTGTTCTTGTTGCCACCACAACCCGTGTAGTAGAAGGGCACACAGCGCTTCTCGCTATCGGAGTAGTGCCACTTGGCCAGCTTTTCACTGCAATCACCGGTTTGCTTAGGAAGAGCACAGTGGTCTGGGTCGGTGGTGGTGGTGGTGGTGGTGGGAAGGTATCGGTGGGTGCAGGAGGAGGATCGGTTGCGGGTGCAGATTCAGAAAGTCGGCATAGCAAATAACAAGCAATCATGCGCATTCAACAAAAGAAGTAACCAAGCATTGTTTTTTTGGGAAAAGGAAAGTGGGGGAAAAAGATACCGTTAACCAGGATAAGCAGAGAGGTTCAAGCTTAAAAATACTTATAGATCCAAGCAAAACATTGCATACAATTAAACCCATTAACCCAAACAAGCCACCGCAATATACTAAATCTGATCTCAAACCTTTAAGCACGCCCGGTTGGCGGCAGTTGTAGTTGCAGGCGTGTTCCGTTGGATAGTTGTTCTTGTTGCCCTTGCAACCTCCATAGGTGAAGGGTCGGCAGATGTCGGTCTGATTGTCGTAGTACCAACGCTCAAAGTTTCCGGCACACGGTCCACTCTCCACAGGCTGTTCGCAGGTTGCTACAATGGGAAAATGTAAGGAATAATTAATATATAATATATCCATTATGTTTCGTCGAGGTTACCCCCTTGATAACCTAATGGGCAAGACTAAAAAAAGACTGTTTTCCAGAAGGTTCTAACACCGCGTCTATTAACTACAGATGCTGATAATAAAGGTTATCAAGGTAGTCATACAATTGAAAGTTCGATCTCAGTTTTGAAAAAGCAATCAACATTGACCTTGTTACCATCAAGTGGAAGATTGAATTGATTTGAGAAGCCAATCCGTTGAGTTTTGGTCCTATCAAGTATTGCGAAGGTTAGACTAGATTTGATCTTTTCGTACCCACAAGATGTAAGGTCTTAAAACAATCTCAATCTCTTGAAACGGTTTACTTACGAAGATGCGCACTGGCAGTGCAAGTTCCCTGGCACTGTTCCAAGCTATCAAAGCGGTTGGTGGTGCCGAAGCATCCACCGTACTGGAACTCCTCGCAGCGGTTGCGGTCAGCATCGAAGTACCACTTCTTTTTGTAGCCCGTGCAGGGACCGGTGGCCTTGGGCAGCAGACAGACATTCTGTCCGGTGTAATCCTGGCAGCTCTCCTTGCACTCGGCCTCGCTCCCGAATCGGTTGTCGTTGCCTCCGCAGCCACCATACCAGAACCGAGCGCATGCGCCGTATGTGGTATCGAAGAAGTACTTGACGCTGTAGCTGCTGCAGTTGCCCGTCTCCTTCGGCAGATTGCAGGCCTTTTGCACTGGCTCCTGGACATGCTCGCATCCGCCAAACTTCTCGTCCGTCGCCTTGCTAACTCCGTCGGGACAGCAGCCGAACTTGCTCTCCACGCAGGTGCATCCCTCGCCGTTGGGTCCCTTGGCCGGAGTCTTTTCGTCGTCGCAACACTTGAACTCCGTCTGGGTGCAATGGCATCCGTGGTGGTGGGGTCCCTTGGCAATGGTGAGCCCATCGGGACAGCATCCGAATTGGGTCGTCTCGCAGGGGCAGCCCTCGAACTTGGGTCCCTTGGCGGGGGTGATCTTGTCCGTACAACAGCCATGCTCGGTCGTCTCGCAAGCACATCCCTTTTGGTTGTAACCCTGAGCGGGTGACTTGTTGTCCGGACAGCAACCGAAGGGCGTATAGTGGCACTCGCAGCCCTCGAAGTTGGGTCCACGGGCGGCCAATATATTGTCAGGGCAGCAGCCGAAGGCGGTGTCCACACAGCAACCCTCGTTGTTGGGTCCATGGGCCGGGGTCTCCGAATCCGGGCAACAGCCAAAGCGTTCGCGGGTGCAGGCTGAGCAGCCCTTGCCGTCAGGACCACTGGCAGCAGTTCGTCCATCTGGACAGCAACCGTGGTCGGATTGGGCGCATCCCTTGGCGACCTGTTGTTCCTCACCACAGCCCTCGAAGTTCTCGCCCTTGGCGGGCGTTTGGGCATCGGGACAACATCCGAAATCGGAAGAGGAGCAGGACTTCTTGGAGGTCTCTGGCTCAAGTGTCGTTGAATCCTCCCCTGATCCCTCCAGCTCAGTAGTTGACTCTGGTTGCGACTCCTCAGTGGTAGTAGTAGGCGGCACAGTGGTTGTTTCGGGACATCCCTCATCGTCCTCACCACTGGCAGCGGTAAACTTATCGGGGCAGCAGCCGAAGAGCGTCTCAGCACACTGGGACTTGGGACAACCCTTGTGGTCTTTGCCCTTAGCCGGAGACACTCCGTCCAGACAACAACCGTACTTTGTATCGCCACAGGTCTTGACAATGGGACAGCCCTCGTCGAAGGGCCCCGTGGGAGTGGACTTACCATCGGGACAGCAACCGTACTCAGTCTTAGCGCAGGTACTCTTTTTAAGCTTACACTTACGAGGCTTGCCTTTTCCAACCTCAGACGCAAAGGAGTATGGAGTACTGGACTCCTCTTCGTCTTTGTCACTGCTGCTGCTCCAGATATCGCTGGTAGTGCTGTCGATATCTGTAGACTGTGTGCTTTCCGTGGATCCCTCAGATGTGCTGTCGGTCGATCCTTCGCTGGTACTCTCCTCAGTTGGCCCACTCTCTGTGGTGTCACTAGTTCCAGCACTTTCAGTGGACTCAGTGGAATCTGTAGGGGAAGCCTCAGTAGAGGAAACATCTGTTGACGAACCATCTGTGGATGAACCATCTGTGGAGGAGCCATCTGTGGAGGCAGAGGACTCGGTTGCTTCTGTAGAACCAGAAACATCAGTGGAAGATGAGATGTCTGTGGCGGTAGAATCTGATGAATCATCACTTGTGGAACTGGATTGACCGTCGACTGTTGTGCCATCAGTGGTTGAACCCTCACTGGCGCTAGCGTCAGTGCTTTCGGTTGATCCTGAGGAATCAGTGGCGCTATCTGTAGAGCCTTCCGAGGAGCTTTCAGTGCTTCCGGTCGTTGATCCATCTGTGGAACTGTCAGTGGAACCATCAACAGTGGTACCATCTGTGGTTGATCCATCGCTTGATAGTCCAGTGGATTCGGGAGCCAATGAATTAGCAGTGGAAGAAGAATCGAAGCTATCTGCTGATGTAGATTCGGTTGAAGAACCACTGGTAGAGGAAGCTTCAGTAGTTGAGGAAACATCCAACGTTGAGGATTCAGTGGTATCAGTTGAGGACTCTGGAGTACTTTCGGTTGTATCTTCCGATGTACTTTCGGTAGTATCTTCCGAAGTGGATTCTGTAGAAGCTGAAGAGTCTGTTGAGTCGGACGTGGCACTAGAAGTACTGTCCGTGGAACTGTCCGTTGAGCTAGAAACTTCGTTGGTGGTTCCATCTGTATTGTCACTAGAAGATGATGGCGAAGATTCACTAATATCAGATGATTTGTCCGTAGAGGCCGTAAATCCCTCAGAAGTAGAGTCTGTCGCATCAGTAGATCCTGAAGCATCTGTAGAGCTTGAAGCATCAGTTGAGCTTGATGCATCAGTTGACTTCGAAGCCTCAGTTGATCCAGAAGTGTCAGTAGAGCTTGTAGCATCTGTAGAGCTTGAAACATCAGTTGAGGATGCTTCCGTTGAGCTTGAGGGATCAGTGGAACCACTAGATAGGTCCGTGGTGTCGCTTGAATCGGACACTGAAGTTGGAGCTTCAGAGGTCGCATCGCTGGAAATGCTGGAGCTAGAGTCGCTGGGACTGGAGTCACTGGAGCTGGAATCGGCAGTCGTCGAGCTGGCCATATCGGTGGAAGGCTCAGAAGTGTCTTCATCATCACCACTTCCTTCTGTAGAAATGCCGCTGTCTGTGGTTGAATCGGACTCATCTCCGGATCCCTCAACTGTGGTACCAGTCGAATCAGATGAATCGAAGGGTGTCGGGCTGTCACTTTGCATTAGCTCTTCATCCTCAGGTGAGGATTCCGTTGTCGATTTGTCTTCGAAGTCGATAATATCGGCGTTCTTATCAGCCTCCGGTAAGCTATCACCGACCAGCTCAATACCATCCTCATCACACTCCTCCTCGTCATCCTCGATGGGTTTATCGGTGCTAGTCAGAGGCAATATCTCGTCTTCAGTGCAGGCTTCTGGATTACACTTCTCGGATAAAGATTCTACCTTTGCTTCGTCGCAGTTTAATGCCTTTGTTCCATTGGATAAGCACAGGACTTCGCGAACACGTTCACCTCCACCGCAAGGTTTGCTGCACTTGCCCCAAGGCCCAGTGAACCATTCGCCGGGGCATTGGTTCTCCTCGCCCTCGCACTCCTGTTCAGCTTCTGGTTTCGTTGCCTTGTCGCATTTGGAATCATCGCTAGCCGGAGTCACCGTCTTGCCATCGAACTCCCCGCAGATGACAATGCGAGATTTAACACCCTTTCCACATGGAGCAGAGCACTTGCTCCATTCCGAGGAGAACCATTGAGCCTGGCACTTGGGCGATTCACATGGTCGGGATAAAGTAGGCACCTCTGGCTCGCAGAACTCCTTGGGATACACCTTACCTTCCTTGTTACCGCAAATGGCCGTACGTGTCTCGGTGTTCTGGCCACAAGCAGTGCACTGCAGAACAATTACTTTTAGTGTGTGAAGGCATGATAAGTAAGGACAATACTTACACCACTCCATTGAGAGATAATCCAATCAACACCCTCACAAGGCGTCAGCAGGCAAGTTTTTTCCACCTCTGGCTTCTCCTCTACGCAATCTTCATCGGGCAGGACTCGCTTGCGTCCATTCTCCTTGATGAAACAGGTCACCTTACGCGTCTGCTTGCCCTCGCCACAGAGCTTGTCACATGGCGTCCAAGGTCCCAGATGGTACTTGGGACAGTTCTTGACATCGCGATTGCATTCCTGTTTGGTGGCCGGCTTGTTGCCCACCTCCTTTAGGCAAACTGCATCTTCTTCAACTGTACGCTCTCTGAAAAAGGTAACACAGATTGCATTTTATCCTATTTGCATGAACTTGGTAACTAAAGAATTTTTTTTTTTTATTTTTGCGAGATATGAACAGAATTGAAAAGTATTTAGGGGATTAGAATTCTTGACTATCTTACCAAACAGTAATTTTTAGGCTTAAGAAGTTTGACTTACCCTGAAGAGGAGATGCGCTCGCAAGTGATGTTTCTGTTCTGGAAGCCATCGGATCCGCAGCCCTTGGAGCACTTGGACCACTCTCCCTCCTGCCAGTGGGGGGCACAGGGCTCCGTGCCGCAGGCTTGTTCCTCGGCTGGCTTGGACTTCTCATCGCACAGAGAGGGGTTGACTTCGGCCAGGGTGATGCGGTTATTGCAGGTCACCACGCGACTCTGGGTTCCACCGCCGCACTGGGCACTGCAGGCACTGAACTGGTGGTGTGTCCACGTGTGCGTATCCTGTTGCGAGTGACTGAGGGACTCCGGGATGCTGTACTCGTAGTCCAGGCTGATGTTTCGCTCCTGCACCAACATCACGATGAAGATGCTCTCCGAGATGGGCCCGCTGCTGGTCAGCTGGTCGGGGGCCGCGAAACCCATGGGCTTGCGTTGATAGTTCCACCACGAGTTGGCAAAGAAGATGGGGCGCGGGAAGTCGATGCGCCAGTCACCGTTCAGGTAGTAGTGTCCACTGTGATTGCGGCAGGCCAGGTAATTGCTCGATGGCACTGTCTCCTCAATGCGGATATTGGTGGCACCCTCTGGCAGGAGCAGCAGGTCGTTGTAGCCGGAGGCCAAGTCCTTCGTGGCAATGGTGTTGCGAATGGTCTTGCAGGTGCTGCCATCGCCACCGCACTTGCGGCACTTGTCCTCCTTGGCATCGCTGCCCAGCATCATGTCACAGCCCACGGGCATGCACTCGCCATTCACGCAGACATCGAGGGTCTTGTCATTGCAACGCGTTCCGTCCACCACCTTCTCCCGTTGGCGATAGTAGAACCGCTCGCCCTTGGGCATGCAGTTCAGCTCGCACGGATTGGGCGCATTTGTGTAGGGCACCCACTCGTAGAAGACGCCATCGAACCTCTGGCTGTCGAAGCGGGAACACTGCTGCGACCTGAAGTCGGGGTCCTCCTCCGGACAGTCTTGGGTGTTGCAGGAGAAGTAGCGACGACTGCCGCCACTGCAAACTGCTTCGCCATAGTCACTGGGGGTTAAAAACGAAAGGTCACATATTTGAATTTAACATTAGGAAAACATATAAGAAAATGTCTTAAGTATATTTGGTAGCATCTTTTGAGGCTTTTTGTATGCTCTATATTATTAAATTGAATGAAATTTCAACGATCTTTCGATGGTCGAAGGGGGTTACATATACTCACTCTCTGCGCAGACACTCTCTTGTCTGGTAGGACACTCCTCCGCCGCAGGTTCGTGAACAGTCCGAGGGTGAGCTCCAGGGGGTCCACTCGTTGGGATCGTCGCCCTCGCCATCGGGCGTGACAGAGCTCTCCGGCAAGTACATGTTGGCGCCATATTGTCTTTTTTGTCTTAGCCCAGGCTGGAAAGGATTTAGTCGATATTAGGCCATAGGATACACCCTCTCCCCCCTGTGGGCATACTTACAAATCTGCTCTGGGAATCGTGGATGCCGGCCAGAACAATGAATGCTACCAAGGCAGTTGAGCTGCAAAAAGGGAAAGCGGAGAGGGGAAATTAAATTAAACGCCAAACCGCCCAGTCATAATCTCGCCCAACTAGGCCATTCATTAAAATCATGGGACCGAAGTCACGTGTTGACTTGTTGCACACTGTATGGTATATTTGTTGACTCTGCTTGTGGACACACGAGTGCTCAGACTCATTAGAGACGCTCAACAGGCTGGGAGTGAAAGGTGGTGGTGGTGGTGGTGGTGGAGGTGGAGGGACCAACTTCGACTGGGTCTTTTGAGAAAGTCCAGCGAAGGGGCACAAACACAAACTTTTGTGGGGCTTCGCGGCGACAACATGATGAACTTGTTTATGCTCGCCGGCCAAAGCAAGCAAACATTGAACTTGTTTTTGCGGGTAAATGCATTTGCTAAGGGGATAAGTAAGAGGGAAGGGCACAAAAAGAATGAGACTTGGTCAAGTAAAATTTGCAATCTCTTCGGTAACAATTTTTTTTTTTTATTATGCGCCGCGTGCGCATGGACCATAAATATGCGATGCCACATAAACAAGACATAATTTAGCAGGGCTTCCTGCCGATTTGCCAAAACGAAAGAAGGGCAGTACCAAGCAAATAATAAGTACCGAAGTCAGAGGAGAATATACGATTATGCCGCAGACAATTCGACGCCGCCGAATTCCTGCGACTGCTGGTACGACTTCTTAACTTTTCCAAGGAGTAAAAAGGACGAGGACGGGGATAAGAGTTGCGTGAATATGTCAAAGGCGTTCAATGTTGCATCCCCTTTTGTTGGGGGCTTGCCAATTTAATTTCTGACGCTGCATGCGGGGAGCCTCTCGGTTTGTTCCGCTTGGACGCCTTCGACTGATGTCCTTTTCGGTACTTTTTCGTCCTTTTGCGTCCTTACTTGCCGCAGCAGGCGTGCTGCTTATGACAGCCAAGGAGGAACGGGGCGGGCGCCATAATTTTTATACTTCTGTGTTGGCATTTTAATGCAATTTCGGGCGCATTTCCCTTTTGAAACCAATGCCAGGACACCTATTGCTTTGGCAAGGACAACGGCAGCCGACAACCGACAACGGCACACATTTCACAGTCCATTGAGCGCTGGCAGGTCAAAGGGCAGGAGGCGGTGGCGCCAGTCATTGCGTCATGCAAACAGGATACGAACCAACTCCATTAATTGGGCAGTTTCAGTTCCAAGGAAACCGCTGAGGCTGCAAAAAACCTTCTTGATTTCGATTTCATATGCGACTGCTGCTGATTACGCAAAATCTTCGGAATCGGACCCAGACCTGGGAACCCCTCCGAATATATGTGGATATGTGGGTGTTGTGGCACACAACATTGTTATTGCCACATGCGGTGGCGGATGTCACGTGACACTAGCACAAACAGTTGGCGCAATCGTCAAATAAGTTACACACATGTGTCAGGGGAACCTCCGCCACAGAAATGTCAAACAAAACATACAGAGGAAATGCTAAATTCGGCGGAAGCTTTACAATAATAAACAGTACCAGCTAATGTCATGCCCCAATCCCACAATCCCAATCCCAATCCCAATCCCTGACCCCATTTGGAGGCCAGGATTTAGTTGGCTGGCAGGCGAGATCAAAGCTGAACCTCTAAAGGGGCCAATTATTGCCTTTCTGGCCAGAAATAGTCCCACAATAGCCGCCCATTGTTCATTGTGCGCCGCATTACAGAGGCATTTGCAGTGCCACTGCAACTTACGAGCTCTCAAAGCGGTGATAATATTTTAAGGGGCAATCACTGCATAGATGCTGTGAGAGTGTGCAGTGAAATGCTCCCTTTTGGCTCCACAATTGCAGCCATTATCAGTCAACTTGAACAACTGCCGCCTGGATGGATGCAAATCCAGGCCACAGATATAGGAATACACACTCTCTCCAGACAAAGTAGCTAAAAGATATTTACTCCGCATCCATGCCAGAGATATTCACGATCGTGTAATTGCTTTCAAATGCCTTCCACGCAACAAGTGCATTCTGGGGTAGAATAGCAAATGCACATGGAAAAATGTACAATAGGTATTTATAAATAAACAATATACACTAACATAATGTGAAGTTTTCCAACAACTTTTCTCTTTTAGTCTAGTTTATTTAAATGACAAAAGAGTTTGGAAATTTATTTCTGAAGATACTAGAATCTTCAAATTACAGCCATTGGAACCGATCAAGTTACATTTTAATTTATTGAAAAACTTATAAGTTAACACAAATAAATTTTAGAACAGTAATACTGCCAAAACGAAAACGTGTTTGATATTAAAAATTTTCCGTTTAGGTTAGTTTTTTTTGATGGCAACAAAGTCTAGAAATACATACAATATTTAATTTTATTCTTTTTAATTATTCGCTGAAATAGATAATTACATTTCAGTTTTTTTTGTTATCCAGGCCCTTCGATACCGTTTTTAAACAGCATTTGTTCTATATTTTGAAACAGTGTTGGTACTACAAACGAATAAGATAATTTTCTCTGTGTAAATTGTTGCAATGACCATCGTAAATTAAGCGCCTGGTAATGAACCGATACAATAATATTATCAGCGGCACTTACTACACAAGTGCGTGCACTTAGCCGCCAACCTCAAGACCGAAAACAAATTATGGCTTATTTAATGCCAAACAAAAAGGAATCTCAAACTAACGAAAAGAAATACATAGTGAGATGAAATCCAAACAATTTCCGCAGAAACACAAATAAATTCTAAACAGATTTCACACCTGACGTTAGATTTGTTTACATGACTCATCCGCGAGGTCGATTTACAAGAATCCCCCCATTTTAATTCCACCCACTTGTAGAAAGGAGTGATTCTTCGCGACTTGCTTTCCCATGCCAATTGATCAAGGCAAAAGTTGCTCATCAAGCCAATCGAATGGCGGGGCATGCAACATTGGAGCTGCATATCCACGAGGATGGATGCCACAGCTGCCTTTTGGAGCACAGCTCCCGCAACGGAGCCCTTTGATGAAGATGGAATGCCCATGGCCCCCAGTTCGCCAGCTGCAACCGTTTGACTTCTGCTGGCCCCTTTCGTTTTTTTGTGTTGATTGTAAAGAACGAACGGAATTTCTGTTGCAAGCAAGCCAACTGATTTAATTGCAGCAAACTAAAAGTGCCGATAAATGCACTCCTCCTTACACAAAAAGAAAATTCGAAATTCAAAACAAACAAAATGAATAAACAATATTTCTTTAATTTTATTTACCCAACAGAAGAATAAAAGCCAGGCCAAAGGGATGTCAGTATTTAGCACTATCTAACACATTTAACAATAGGAAATACCAAATTTCAGATATAATACCTATTATACCATGCGACCTTACCCATAGAGAAGAATTCAACGCAATTTGATATTCGCAAAACGTTAAAGCCATATATTTGTGATATAACTCATTGATTAAAGATACAAGCACGTCAATATATAGTTATATCTAAAATATTGACTAATAGGAAATAGGAAATGCCAAAAATACTATATGTTATACCAAACGCCATAAGAAAGGTTTTTTTTTTAATAAATTAAAATATCTGGTAATTGTTCAAAGGGGAACAGTTCTTTTCGTTCTTATTCCTGTTCATTCAGATAAGTATCATCAAAAAAATTCAAGTTAGGTAAATGGAGCGTCAGTAAATATCAACTTTTAAAATATTTATTAACAATCAATTAATAACAAATTCCAGAAATAGTACCATTTAATCTGAATAAGTTAATCTATTTGATTTCAAAGCCGAAACAAAGTAGAACTATGCTTAATTTTGGACCACCCTGTTACTATAACAAAAGAACAAATGGTTTAACGCATTTAATGCTCCAAAAAGTCACATTTTTATTTCTTTTTTCTGAGTGCAATTATCTGCTGCAGATCAATCTAGGCAGTAAGTCCTAATCAGCCTCGTTACTGCGTTCTATTTGGCCGCAAAATACCAGGCAGCAATTATCCACAGATGCAGCTCATTAGTCGGAAGGATACGGATACGTGAAAATGTGGAAATGTGTGACACCCGTTTGTTCAAATACAATTACATAGTCATACAATTATCGCAAGACAAACGCAGACTAATGCAAAACGCCAAATTGTGGGTGAGGTGCGGCCAGGTAAATGTTCAAGTGTTCATGTTGCCATGATGCTGGATACTAGATTCCAAAGCTCTGATGTTGATGATGATGATGATGATGATGATGGGGATGATGACTCTATGAGGAATCGGGCTGGTAGGGTGGTGGTGGTGGAACGACGACGACGACATTTGTTGCAACGGAAGTAAATGTTTGCATTGTTGAAATTTTAATTGCATTTGCATAAAGCAATGCACACAGAGAGAGTCCCATTTTACCGTAGCTCCAATGGCAAATTCATGCTGCTGCTGCCATTTTGACTGGCAGCCAAACACTTGCGCACTTTGGCCGAGCAATTATCAATTTCGAAATTAATTTAACTTAATTGAGTAGTGAAAATAATAAACATACGACTTTGCCCCCAAGTGTTTACGAAATGCAGACGCATGGCATGGCTTGGCACTAGCAATGCTGGGAGATTATGCAACATTCTACTGCCTCTGACTGCAATGTTTAGTTGCAGTTGTGCTTTTGGGGCTAAGAGGCACAACAAAGTTTGCTTTAATGCCTAATGAAATATTTGCCACGCTTTTGGGGCAAATGAGCAGAGCAAATGAGCAAACAGAATGCACATTAAAGACACAGTGTTTGAAAGGGAAAAAGAGTTTCACTCTGCGTTTGCACTCCGCCAACTTACTGACCCATAAATTTCACTCACTGTCAACGGCGGCAGCTAAATGTTCGACTTGTAAACAAATTTTTATGGCCCCATGTTGGGCTTGGTGTTTGCAGCAAGAAGAAACATCAGCCACAAGTGCATCAACAGTGCACTGTGCAGCTAATTAGAGACATCATAATGCCTCTGTCGCGACTGCGACTTCCCATCCTCAAAGACCCCCTACCCACACTCACACAAACA